GAGGTCGCTAAAAGTACCCGCAGACTAAGTAGCAATAAGAAGGTGTAATTCTTGTTTGAAAATAAATATGTTGAAATTTGACTTTCATCTCGGACGCAGTCACTTTGTCAGTATCAAATAAAAACAAAAAAAAACGGACGGTCAATCGGGTCGGGGGTGCTGGTGGCTTGCCCTCAAGCATAAAATTTGGCAGACGACCAGATGGCACAGAAGATTTGTCTGTATATTAATTTATGCGCTTCAAGGACTGGGCATATCCGGGCATCTTCTGGATCTTGGCAAAAAATGACATTTTTTCAAAAATATTTCAAGTAAAAAATGTTCTAAATAGGAAACACCACAATATAAGTAGTATTGCGAGTTTTTCAATCAAGTAAATTTAAGCACCTACCCAAAAAATTGCAATTCTGGCCGAAAGCGGCATTTTTTCAAAAAAAAGTTTCAAATAAAAAGTGTTCGAAATAGGAAACACCACAACATGAGTGGTATTGGCAAATTCCTATTCATTCCCGTTAGCCCAAATCGGCCGATAAAAATAGACAGAATCGTAAATGTATACATACAGTAAAAATTGCAATTCTGGGCGAAAGCGGCACTATTTCAAAAACCATTTCAAATAAACAGTGTTCTAAACAGGCAACACTACAATATGAGGTGTATTAAAGATTTTTCATTCATTCTCGGAAGTCCAAAACGGCCGATAAAAATGGTTAAAATCGTAAATTTATACAGTTTCAGTAAAAATGGCAATTCTGGTCGACAGCGGCATTTTTTCAAAAAAAGTTTCAAATATAAAGTGTGAAGACAGACAAAAGCTACAATTTGCCTATCTTTTTAAATTTTTTCAGTGATCGTGAGGCACGCTAGAGCGAAAATAAAATGTCCAAAAATCGCCCAAAAACTCGAAATTGTGACCGAACAAGACATTTCTCGGAAAAACGTTTCAAACAAAAAATGTGGGGAACGGGACAAGCTAGAATATGATAGCACCTTCATCCAGT